GCCACAGAGTTGTGGCAAGTGGCGCCATCACCAAACCCTCTCCGAACATTTGGGTCACCCTGTATAAGACGATAAACAAAGTTGTATCGAAGCCATTGCATTGAATTCCCATTCACCGTTATTGTAATGCGTCACCCTACCACCAAACCCTCTCCGAACATTTGGGTCACCCTGTATAAGACAACAAACAAATTTGTATCTCTAAATTATCAGCATTTCCTTACTTTTTCCTTAGATTCGGCAACGTTGATTTTCTTAAATTTCCAGATTTTGTATCAGTTTTACGCTCTTCAAAGTCAACGCAGTTGGTCCTATCGAAATAAACCTTCTCAATAATAAATTTAAACCTAATGGGGGCTGTTAAACCAAACTAGACTCACGTTTAAAAATGTTTACTTTAAGGGTTGCTGCCGACTTTCCGCAAACGTCTTCTATTCAGCTGTGAAGGCAAACAGGGCCCAGATGAAAACGATTCCATGTTTTCTTTCCATTAGCCAGCGCCTCAAGTCGGATCGTTGCACAATCCAACTGCAACCCAAGACCGGGACTCAGACTCAAACTAAATTCGGAAACAAACAGAAAGCCCACCTCCAGCATCCCCAAACCGCAGAGTTGCCACCGGCAGCGACAGTTCGGTTAGCCGCACTTAACGCTCCAAACTTTTTGGGGAAGCAGCAGTAATTTAAATTGAAATTAGCGCTGGAGTTCAAAAGGGTCACTGGTTCGATAAAGATTTAGGTTGGCATGAAACGCTCTTCTATGTTAATTCGCAGAAAACTGAATTCGCACGAAAATCAGTTTATGTTCGAAACAGAAGACTTGGTTCTTTGAATCTTTGTTATATAAAATTTCCATGTTACATTGGAAATTTCTGTTAATTGCTTATCCAAAAAACTACAACAAATTCTGCCCTTAAAAATAATATCCAATTAATGTTTTTCCACAATTATTTTTATTATAAAAAAAACAGGAAAACCGCATGATTGAGTTATTATACTCGCTCGCAACACTGCCCGTGGTTCATATAAATTTACTTCAACGAGCAGCCACAAAAACTAAGAGGAAAACAACAAAAATAGTAAACAAAGACGTTGGGCGGGCGGGCGTACATAGCCGAAAGCAAATTCATGACAATTTATGGAATCTTTTCTGGCGTAAACATATCAAGACGGCGCTGCCGTGAACTACAGTGCGAATTTAAACCCGCGGTTCCGATTTAATTCGAAAACCTATTTTCAAAATAACCATTAGGCATAAATAAATTAAGTAAAAATAATTATACAAAGGTATTATAAATCTAGTTTAAACAGTAACACAGGAAAATGCATTTGATTGTTACAAAATGTTTGGTGTTTATTTGCAGTCCTGCATAAAACATTTAATTTAATTTTATTTGAAAAATGCCTTTCTAATGGATTTCTGAAAGCCTATTTAAAGGAACTGTGGTTTTCGTTTCATCGAATCTCAGTGTAGTGGTAACAGAAGGCGTTCATAACCCAAAGCATATGATAAATAACGAAAGCACACACCCCAGACACCTAACAACAGACCCTTCTGATTCACGTGCCTGTGGGCCGTGTGTGTCTGTGAGTGTTTGTCCTGAGTGCCCCACACCCCCTCCCCTCCCCCCTCTTCTCCTCCCTTGCCCCCACCACTCGAGAGCCTGCTCAATCCACTCGGCACACTGTTAGTTTGGCAAAGAAGACGTCGAGGATTCCGCCGCCGAACTACGACCTCAAGTCACGGCCCGATGCATATGTATGCGTATTAAGGATGCTCCAGATACAGACACACACACACACGCACACACTCTAGCAGCCTAACTGCCGTTTGGCCTGTGTCAATATGTATGTAAATAAGCGGGAAAACAAGTGGTTATAAATTTCCAAGGATGATGATGCCCGGCGACTGTCGCTGCGATGCGAATAAGTATAAAACATTGCGTATACGCACCATCGACGCCAAAAGCCGTCAACCAAAAATAGCCCATAAGCAAACGCACACACATTGGGAGTCCGCATGTGTGTGTACCCTAATTATAATGCCCTTCAGGAAGAACGTCGGCGATACAAGCCCAATAAAAAATGGCAAGAAAGAAATGGTGGAAGGAAAAATAAAATAAAGGAACCCAAAACGTAAACAAGGAAATGGGAGGAAGTGGAGGAGAGCTGGGAGCCAATGAGGCGTGCCACGCAGAAAAGAAATGCCATCGCACAAGATCTATCAACTATGATACAGAATTAAAGCTCATTTTTTACCCACCCAGCTGGGCCGCCGCCTCGTTTTTATGCTCTGCATCCTTGAAAGTTTTTAATATGTTTATTTATATAAGCGCGGGGCAATGTGGCCACCGTTGCGTCGTCAATGTTGTTTATTGCTGCTGTTGTTTACTATTTTATCGTATCCGGCCATTCTATCCCTTGTAGCCAGTTCTGCCACCCAACTTGAATTAAGGTTGCAGCGATAGTGCACTTCTCATAAAACCCCGTAAAATTAAAAGCAATTTTGTCGTTGCAAGCACTTTAACTGTCCTTCTGAAAGGTTTTTTTATTTTGGATAATCCATCGGAAAAGTAATAAAAGGTCAAGGGGTTGGGCTAGCTTGCTGTGACGTTTAATTTTTCTCGAGAATCGCTTTTTCGTTAACTGCTTGAATATGTTTTTCAGTTCAGTACCATTGCGCAGGACAAAGAGAACTGAAAGTATATACTTGTAAAAAAGCTGTTGACGTTTGGCCTTCAAAAAAGTATTGACAAGTATTATTTGTGCGGCTCTGTTAAACTCTCAAACGTTTTTCCTGTTCCCTAACATCTCTTTGTTGACTCATTGTCTGTAATATTCGTAAACAATTCAACGATGGCTTAACTCACTATTAAGTGGGGCAACAGTCTTTGATCCTGCCCCAATACATAATCCAAACACCATCCATCATTAAAGCTTCCACAGTTGAACTGCGTACTCTGAGTAACTGAGCACAACAAAGGCGCAATATCATTTTGGGGCAATTTGAGTTGCTATGCCATCCCGGGTTCCTCTTGGCAGATTATTTATTTTGGCCCTGCGACAACAAAACAGGAGCATCAATCATTTCCGGGCAATCGGATGACAATGTCCCAGGACCTGCCAGAAGGTGTAGGCCCCAACGAAGCATATTTTTAATATATAAGTGAAAGTTTAGACTGTCATGTTGATGAATTGAAATATTGCCGCACGAATGCGTTACGCAGGTAATCAAGCATCAAATTGCAGGGGGCTGAGCCGGAAGAAAAGGTGCTCCAGGAATAGACTGAGCCAGTCTGAACTTTACGCTTTAAATTGCTCTAAATTGGGGCCGTGTTTAGTTGAGAGGGGTGGCTTATCACATAAACCAATCTAGGAGAAAGTAAACAAAGTCAGAACGAGTTGGGCCGCCCAATAGGGAACGCGATATGAAAGCCTACAAAATATTTACTCAGTCAAATCAATTTTATGGCTATTCGGTTTTTATAGCAGCAAGAGTAGCTCAAAAATCTAGTCCTAAATTATTCAGGGTGTGTTATTTCCGCTTCCTCTCTGCATACCTTTGAATTCCCGGGGCATTATATGCGCAGAAAAATCAATACAAGCATCAAAAGTCCACAGAAGGATTTATATTTAAAAAAAAACTCTTTCCGCAAAAAAAGAAAAAAAATTTCTTTAGGAAATTTCATTTTGAGATATGTATTTCGATGCTGAAAATGCAGCACTGCTTCAGTTCTTTAAAGCTGTCTTTAGAAAATGGTAATATTTTAATGAGTCCTGATTTTTGAAGAGTGGAATCAATGATTAAATTAAAGATTTTTTTTCATGTTTGTACAATTTTCCGCTCAGTTTTAGCTACTTACCTAAAAGTATAGACGATAAAATACTGAAATATTTAAATTTGCTCAAAAATAAAAAATTAACACATACATATTACATATTATATAATGACATTTTATACCTATTTCTGTTTGTACAAACGTAGACATTTTGAAACTAGGTATAACAGCTTAAGGGATTTTAATTACCCCAATAAGCTTTTATTTTCTCTATTGTATTTGTACATTTTATGCCTAAGCCTAAACTCTTAAACTCCTGGGTGTATCATATTTAAGGAAATTAGATATCCTAAATTCTGAGTGCGTTATTTGTTGATAAAAACTATATTTTTATTCCACTTGCCAAACAATAACTTAGAACATCTGAAACACCTCGTGATTAACTTGCAAAAGGCGAAGTGCAAATGGTATAATTCTGCTATTTCCAGGAATTATTTCGTTCAGTGTGGGCCGAAGCCAAAACGAGCATGAACACACCAAGGAACACACACACAGTAACACTTTGGGAACACCCACACCAGCAAACAAGTGAAACGTCAGCGGAAGCGCGTGCGTGACAGACTGAAAATGTCTGCTTTCATGCTCCGTCTGTGTGTTTGTCTGTCGAATGCTTCTGTGTGTGTGCGTGTGCTATCTGAACTTTTGAACTAATTTGAAATTTTAATTTATTTTATTTGTGCGAGTATTTTTTAATGAAAATGTCGGGGAGTCGGAAAGTTCCATGGCTTGCGGGGCAGGCAAGTTGTTTCTGTTGCGAAGCCTGACGAAGGCTTTAAATAAATCAAGATGACAGGTGTCTGGATTGGAAATTAAAGAAAGCTGTCACCTTTAACCTGCACGAAATTGGAAAAAGTATATTCAAACCAAAAGAAAGAACGATGTATCGCCTGTTTTTGCAGAATTGACAATGATATACTTGGGTTAAATTTACCTATTGGTGTAAAAATATTAAGCCTTTTATTCTTGATGATTTAAATCTTGGTTTCATAATAGTTAGTTCCTTTTAACGCAATTTACTCCAGAATATAGGCAACAAACCTTAAGACACAAAACTACACAAAAAGTATGAACTAGTTGTAAAGAAAAATTCCACTTCAAAATCAAAATAAATTTATTGCAAACTTTTAATGAGAATCGAAATAATTTCCCTCTCTTTTCGCAGGCAACCACTGCAATTTGCCGACGGGGGAAACACAATTATGGCGAATTCGAACAAAGCTCCGACTAAGTGCATTAACAACAATAACGGGGGCAGTAAAAACAACAACAAATGCAGCTGCAACGACAGCGTCACTAGGGCCCTCAAAATGTAATCGGCCAAGGGCGCGGACTCAAAAGGGCCCACTCAGCTTGGCAGTGGGCAGTGGTCAACGGCAACGGCAACTGCAACTGCAAGAGCAACAGCAACCGCAACAGCAAATGCAACACCGCCACTGAATCTCAACAATCGACACAAGTGCAATCACAGCGGCAGCAACATCAGAAACCAAACAAAAATACGCAACATAAATGAAGTTAACAATCTGTCAAATTGCTAAATTATTTCTGCTGTTGACAGCCTTCTTCTTTCTCACTTCCCCCAGCACAGCCTCCTTAGCCCTCGGCTCGCCCCCCACCTCCTCCCCCCTTCCTCCCTCCCAGCGGCGGGTGTCCTTGTCCTGCGGGCTGCCAAGACAGAGACGGACTTTGCTGCGGCCACGCGGACTTCCCCAGCGACAGCGGCAGCAGCAACAACACTCGGCAGCAATTCAATTTGGCCACCAGCAACACGAACAAAGAGCCCACGTAATGCGCGTGAGTCTGAACGTCAGAGACGTCAAGAGCAACAGCCCGCAGCAGCCCGTCAGCAACTGCAGCAACAGCAGCAACAGCAGCAACAGCAACAGCAGCAACAGCAACAACAGCAACACAAGCGCCAGCAACAACATCAGAGCCCAGAGCAACATCAGCTGCAACAGGGACAGAAACGTCAACGGCGGCAACATCAAAAGCAGCGACTGGGCGTTTTAATTCCCCCTCGCTGCACGTTGATATGACGCATGTGCAACAGGGCTTCCAGAGCTTCCTCGACTTTTTCCAGCTGCATTTATCTAATGTCAGCGTCGATTTTCTACGTGACGTGGGTGAGTACACACAGGCCGAAAAACAAACCCATCACAAACAGGCAAACAGCCCAAACGGGCCAAGCATCCTTGTTTGCCTTGTTTGTTGCCACAGCCCCTCAAAATCCCTGCCAACATGCATTTAGCCATCGTGTATTATCGATGATTTGTGTGTGCCCGCTGCTCAAGTTTCCCTCCTTTTTTCTGTTCGCAAACTTCGGAGATTCGGAGGCGGAAGGTGGCAGGTGGCTGTTTATGAAGATGAATTGGCCTGCTGTTTGCCAGGGGTAAGTGTTTGCCGGCAGCCAGCGGGTGGAAGTTATGGGAAACTCTGCTAATTGAGTGGGCAAGTACAAATCAAGCGACTGAATTCAACTCGAAGCTATCTGGGCTGGGAATCTTCGGAGATGAGCGTCTCAAGTCGAGATACCCATCTTTGGTTGGGAGGAGCACAGCGTTCCCTGCAAACCCAATTTGCATGCATTATGCTTTGATTACTTTTCCTTTTTTCTGTGCTTTCCTTTTCCATGAAAACCCCCTTTCCTTCCAAGCGAATTTAAACTAATTTAAGCACGTTCTCTCTTCGACTTTCGCTTTTGGGGGAGGACGCAGTATAGACATCGAGACTTACGCTTTGTTCTGTAAAAAGTCACAGCTTTAATAGCTGCGAGTGTAACAGTTTAAAGTTAGGTTTATCTGTTCAGTAGACTCTAAACCAATTAAAACGAACTATGGCCCTAAAAAGATTAGCAGCTGCCACTGGCGGGATATCAATTTGCAGCGTAATTGGACTGCATGGCGAGTGCCACTCGCAACGGACAGCATTTGTTGGGGCTTACACAACAGCAACAGCTTACATGTGTAAGCATCCAATCAATCCACACCGTCCTTTGTGGGCTGTCTTATGTAACACGTTACCCAACTATTTCCCTGGACGAGGTCCGCTCTTCGTGTTGTCCTGAGGTAGAAAGCAGTTTATGGTCTATTTCAGCCGCTTTGTGCCACAGCCAACGATGGTCAGCAAATAGACTCACAGACTCTTTCCAGGACATAAATTACCAATGGGGCGGGAAAGGACAGCCGGCCATATGCAGCCAGAATCCATTTCAATATTTTACAAAACATAAAAAGCTGCAGCACTGCAAGGCAGCCAAGCTAAATTACGGCAAATGGAATTTATTTGTGCGGAATGAAAACGTTACGTTAGTTTGGTTTGCAAATTGAATTTCGTTGTCGGGCACTTAAATCAATTTAGATGGCTGTGGGAGCCAGCAAGTTTTACCTGTTATTTATGACACCTTCAAGACAGCCCCTAAATTAAAGCTATCGAACTTCAACTATTTACTCTGTGAACAACTGCGAAGTTGTTGCAATCGGCAAAAACTTTGGCGCCAAATAAGTGAGCCACAAAGTTGTGTGTTTACTCAGAAAATAACTGAAAAGAACCGGGCGCAGAGAAAGCAAGTTTAAATAATAAAACAGATAGCCAGACGAGGACCGTCCCAGTCGAAAAGCAAACTTTTCCAAATGGAACAGTCGCTGAGAGTCGAAATTAACTTTCAGCTTATCGCGATCTATGGCGAAATTCATTTAAATACCTAATCACTTGGGCAAACCTAATTCGGCATAAATATTCACGAACATAAGTTGCGAGTTTTCAAAGGGAAAGTTTTAATTTACAGAGACATTAATTCGCCAGAAAACTTCTTAAGCTGCTGGCCTGCAGAATCTCAGCCTATGAGCGGCATTTTATGGGTTTCCGACCCACCAGCCCCCCACCGCTCCCACCCCCTAATAACTCCCGGCGTGTTGCTCCCTGTCGAGATCCTTTGGTGCGAAGGCATGTGAATCACTGGCATTCATAACTCTGCCCACTTGTCGGACTCTTGGACAGTTACTTGCAGTGACAGCCGTTAGCAGGCCACGTCGGGAATCCAGAAAAAGGCTCTTTGAGCCCACAGAAGGGTCCGCCCAAGAAGAAGCGTTGACAGTTTGGCTTTTTTAAAACCTTGTTCATGCTTAGCCATGTGTAATATTGTAGTAGGATGTTTACCTACAATACCCACTGTACCATTATAATAAGAATTACAGTTAAAGACCAGAGATGTATAACCATCTCTCTCGCCCTCATAGAATATAATAAGTTTATGATCATGTATTGCGGGCTCGCTTAAGGGGCTGAACGAGGAGAAGAAGGAAGAGAATAAAGGAGCATTCAACGTCAGACATTTAAAAGGAGCAGTCGCATATTTTGAATAAAGTATTAAAAGAAATAAAACGAAAGTCTTGTTACTGTTACAATATGTTGTTAGTAGTAAGATCTAGTATGATTTTTTAATGATCTTTTTGTGTTTTTCTTGTGTTGGTTTTGTAAACATTTTCTAGCCTTTATCACTGTTTAAACCATTGTTTAACTACATATTTCGTATACGTAAAGAACCGATGGTGTTTCGATTTTACATTTCAACGAATTTTGCATTAAAATTGCGAGCTATAACCAATTGTAATTGACTTTATGTCGCAATGGTCAATTTTTATAAATTTATTTATTTATAAAAAAGTTTATAAGTCTCATTAATATATTGGATTTCCATTAGAAATGCGGTGTTTTAGTTAGTATATCACCTTATTTTTTCGCATTCTTTAAGGAACCTATAATATTCCAGTCTTAGGTTAGCTTAGCTGGCATCTCTGGTCAGAGGGCGGGGGTAAACAACTGCTGCCGTTGCAGACAGACACTCTCTGTGGGCATGGCCACCTTCATCAGCAGTAACAGTTACTACAGGCTGAAGCACACACCGACCTACACTCGCAGAAAAACCTCACCCCGCCAGCTTATGTATGCAGAAGTTTTTTATGCCACATAAAATGTTTCTCTTTCTTTTCGCCCTTCCGATGCGATGACTACGACGATGGCGACGACGGCGCACAGATTTAAGTGGCTTCATTAAATTACTCGAGCTGCCCCAATACACGAGCGTTGTAAAGACTTTAAATGCGGGCATTAATGCGGACGCCGACGTGGACGAGGATCTGAACGTGAATGCGAACAAGGGCCGCAGCGTTATTCGGGGTGCGAATATGGACGTTGACCCGCCCAGCCGGCCACGTCAGCAGCATCAGCCACATCAGCAAATATTGCAGCAGCAGCAGCACCAGGAGCAGGAGCAACTCCGTCATCCTCAGCAGGACGCCAAGGCAACCGCCGGGAACTTAGAGGGCCGGTGGAACGACGTCCGCAGCTTCTCGGGTCACTGCCATCAGCTGGCCGAGCAACTGGCCCACGACTTCAACAAGACCGTCGTCCTGTGGCCGTGTCCGCGAATGAAAGTGAGTACGTCCTTACCTTCACACCGCTGACCCACAGTGAAAAAGCAGTGTGTAAATGGTGGGTTCGGGGGCAGAAAAGAGGGGCTTTGATACACGTACTTAAGTAGGAGAGTCAAAGGAAACTTAAGTGTGCGAGCCAGTCTAAAAAGCTTATTCTCATGGGGTTCACGCAAATTCATCAAATTTTATTGGCAGAAAATCCAGACTTGCGAAATTTGGACATAATATACAAAAAGCGAAACTTATTTGGCACTTCCTGCATATTAATAAATTACATCCAAAGCAAAGGAGAATTGTGAACTGTGTGTAGTGCAGCGTTGCCAGTTTTTTTTTTTGCCAAGTCGGGACTTAGGAACTTTTTTAGTGAAAAAAGCGGGACTCTTACGTCGAAAGCGGGACATAATAAAAAACGTATATAACCAGAAGTTTTTAAAATATTTATCTTTTTATTTCCATCCAAATTAAGTTAAAGTACAATAGATAGTAAAATTAGCTATAGAAAATATATTTTAACAAAAATATAATATTTCCAATGATATTTACTTTTTCGTTAAATATTTGGGTTTTATTCGTTCCCTGAATAAAAAAAATAATAATATACAGAAATCAAAATCAAATAAGTACTATTCATTAGAACCATATGGCGTTTTAAACAATTGTCTGAGGAGTGAATGTTTCTAATTTTAACTTACAATAAAAGAATAACTATTTATAACAATCACTTATTCATGATATTTCTGTGAAGATTTCACTTTTTTAAAGTTTCTTTTTTCTCTTTAATAAAAAGATCACTGCTTCACTGCACTAAAACAAACGGTAATCGTTATTCTTTCGTTGATAATCGTACGTTTTCTTGAAACAGAAAATTATAAGCAAATGAAAATAAGGAAAGAGCGAAGAGAAAGAGAGGAAGTCGCAGTCGCACGCGCCTCTCTCACTCCTGAGCGCTTTATCAGCCCGCACGTTCGAATTCTCATTAAGAAGCGGGACTGAACCTGTCCCGCGCGGGACATTTAATTTTTATTTAAAAATCGGGACGTCCCGCCAAAATCGGGACGTCTGGCAACGCTGGTGTAGTGATACAATCAGGGTCTTTTCTCTTCGGTGGTCGCAGCAAAAGTGATCTTTATTTCATCATCTCTGTTAATGCTTAGCCTATTTCACAATCTCGTATGTGCGAGAGAGAGACGTACATACTTAGAGATGGGTTTACATGGTGTTTCTTAAAGGAGTAAGGCGGACATAAAGGATGACTTAACTTAAGGAATACACAATAACGCTAACTGCTTATCAAGCAGTGCTTAATAACACTGTGCGACAAAAAAATGTTTGAGTTGATTTTTTCTTATTTTTCACTTCTACTAGTCAAAATAAGAATACAAGTTTTTGGATTTGTTAATATCAATAGCCAATCAGCTTCTACGCACACTCAAAGGTCCCAAAAACGCGTGTTTTTGCATATTTCACAGCCTTATAATACCATATTGGGAAAATATTTTTTCACCGTTATAAGCGTTTTATGCAAGTTCAATATCTATTAATTAAAATATATTAAGCAAATATACCGTTAGGCTTTTATAACAATGCTCTGAAAAAGCCAAAAACAAGAAAGGAAGCTAGCTTCGGCAAGCCGAAGTTTATATACCCTTGCAGTCATCAAATATGTCGAACAAAACTCATAAAGGCTAGACAACATCGAAGCTAAGACGATTTTTCTATTCATTTTCCATATTTTTGACTATAGATCATATGGGAGCTATACGATATAGTTGTCCGATTTTGATCACATTTAATTCGTAATTCAAGAGTCGTAAGAAAACTCTATATTCCAAAAATCATACTTGTCTGATGAAAAACAACGATGTTATAATTTTATTTCCATTATTTCTATAAAGATTTTTCGATCTTTCCTATGGCAGCTATAAGATATAGATGACCGATTTTTATGAAACTTTTTTCTCAATATAAACGTTGTTAAAAAAACTTTATATTCAAAAAATCATGCTCGTGGGATAAAAAACAACGATGTTATCAATTTATTTCCATTAATTCTATATATAATTTTCGATCTCTCCTATGGCAGCTATATGATAGAGTTATCCGATTTTGATCAAATTTAATCCGAAATTCAATGACAGTTAGAAAACGCCATCTTGAAGAATTCAAGTCGATCTGATCAAAAACAACGGAGTAAGAATTTTTTATTTCATTCTCTCGTATGGGAGCTATCCGATATAGTCGGCCGATCCGGCCCGTTCCGACTTATATACTGCGTGCAATAACTACACACATTTTGGGAAAGTTTCAGCGAGATAGCTTTAAAACTGAGAGACTAGTTTAGGCAGAAACGGACAGACGGACAGACGGACAGACGGACAGACGGACAGACGGACAGACGTACAGACGTATTCCGATTCTACTCGTGATGCTGATCAAGAATATATATACTTTATGGGGTCTGAGGTGTCTCCTTCACTGCGTTGCAAACTTCTGGCCAAAATTATAATACCCTTTGCTCTGCAAGGGTATAAAAATCAGAAAAAAATTTCACTTTTAAAAAAAATAATAGTTTATTGGAAGTAAAAAAAAAAATAATATTTTGTGTTAAATATTTTCATAATAATAATTTCATTAAATTTATCATAAAAAAAGAAATCCTATCACTTAGAAGGTGGCATAATTATTTTTGTGCATAACTTATGCCCCTTAACCGAAAACAATCAAAAAAGTAACTCAAACAAACATTTCGTTAAATTTTGTCGCACAGTGTAATAGGAACATGTGTTACTTACAAAAACTATTTTTATGTGAACGGCTTAAATGAAATTCCTTTAGGAAGTAGGTGGGAAAATGTTAACAGAGTTGTTAAAATGCATTTATAAATACTAACTGTTCAAGCCTGAAAACAGTCAAGTTTGAAAAGTGCTGTAAAACAGGGCGATAGATGATTTAAAATGGTTTTATTTATCTATTTTTGTTATTTATATTTTAATACGACAGAAATGGCAAATTATTTTGATCCAAACATTTGAGAAAGTTCTTTTGGGTTAATTAAGTAGAAATTTAAGCGAAATAACTAGAGACATGACTGGAAGAAGCCGCAGGCCTTATGCCGCACAAATTTGCAATTTTGCAAAACAATCTCCAAACAAGGAAAGGAGACAGTTCGCACCACAAAAGTTCATCAAGTCAAGTCCGTGGCTGTGTGTTGAAGGTTGCAGGCAACCAGGAAATGGAAAATGGAAAAACCGAGCCAGAGGCTCAAGGCTGAAGGAAGCGGCAGCGGAGTTTTGGAGGTGGTTGGCGGCAGGGTGCGGCAACTGGCCAAAATATGCTGTGAAATTGCTTGATGAAAGTCGACGCTGGCATGAAATTACTTTTTGCGGCAAGTGTTGCTCGCCTACTGCCAAGTTGCATGCCAACAAGTGCCCAGAAGAATACCAGGCTTAATCCCGCATGCTTCCACTTGGCCAACTGTCACCCAAAGTTGTGCAACACAAAGTTCTGCTCGTTACTCTTGCATATTTTTATGAGCCCGCCCGGAATTCCAGGAATTTGCTGACAATTGATTGACAAGTGCTGGGCGAACTGCTCCCAGAAGTTTCTTGCCTTGTTGAAAATGTCAGCAAAGTTATTAATGAAAATCTGCGCGGCCCGAATGCCCTGACAAACCGTAACGAAATGATTGACAAACGTGGGGGGCTTGTCCTTTTCCCAAACAAAAGGCAATGACAAAATAACAGACTGCCGGGCCCTAAGGACAAGTTAAATAGCATCTGGCCCGAGAAATGCAAATTCAGAATCTCATTCGAAACCAGGCATTGAAGATTTGGTAGTACCTCCGACGAGCTTCAGCATTTCCCTCGGTTAAAGAGCCATAATTCCATGTTTTCTGCCTGCCAATAGCTGTTAGCTCTGTTGCTGTTGGCAGGCATTTAAATCACTCAACGAGTGCTTGCTGCCGGCTCAAGGCACGTGCCATGCCCCCTTCCCCCTTTCATCCGCATTCCTCCGTCTCTTTCGTCCTTGATCCCTGTGAGGACACATCTCGCCCGCTCACTCGGCACAACGATGGACAAAATGTTACAGCCTTGACATCTGTTTTTCTATATGCATGTTTTTATAAGCTTAGCCGCACTGAGCTGAGCTCAGCTCTGTTCTGTTTATTATCGGCGCGAAGGGGGCTTAACGGATGCACACTGCATTTCACGTGCAGCTGGATAGATGCTCAAAACGCAAACTAAACGAAAAATACAAATCCACGAAAGTACAGTCACAGCACGTCAAAAAAAAAACTCGTTTGAGCCGCAAAAGCGCCACCTAGCGTTGTAGAAGTGCATATTCAGCAAAAGATAAACTCACTAATAACGCATCCCCCCGTCAGAATTTTCCATAAAATGTTTTTCTTGGTTGACAGCAAGGTTTCGTAAACCAGTTTTCTGTTGACCAGCACAACTTTTTAATTTACCGCTTTTATGTTCATAATACAACATTTTTTAAGGTCTGATAAATAACTATAAAATTATCCTCAGGTAATGGCATTACCTTATAAGTATTGTTAATTGACTACAATTTCAAATGAAATTGTTTTTCTCTGGCAAAATGGTAAACAGTTTGCGTCGTGAAAAAAGTAAAAATAATTTTGCATTTAACCAAATAAATGCGTACAATAAAAACTTCTTATTCCCCTTCGCCCTTAAAGGTTTATTCCATGATGGAGTTTTTTAATTGTACTATATAAGTATTATCTTGTAAATAAACAAATGATGTATATATTAAGGAAGACTTTAAAATTGTTTCTCTTTTTACATGATACCATTTATTGCTGACTTTTTTCTTTGAAAACTGTTTGTAAATTCTTTTTTGCGCATTCGAATATTCGAAGAATATATATACTTTATATTATCTGAGGTATCTCCTTCGCTGCGTTGCCAACTTCTGACTGAATTTATAATATAATTTGCTCTGCAAGGTTGTGAAAATAATAATAATAATAATAA